AATGAGTGTTATTTCATTTGGAATATTTTATATAAAAAAATTGATTTTTAAGTCCTTCGCAAGAGTAAAGTTGATTTTACAATTTGTTTATGCTATACGTCATTTTCCAATACTAGAAAGTCTAGCTATCTAAATAAATACTACAACTTCAAACAATTCGCTATGGTCCATAAGGTTGGGTTTTGAACCATGGTGAGCTACAATAACTCCGAGCTGAGCGTCTCTGGTTTAAATTATTATGGATTAATGCGCTACTATTTTATATTCTGTCAAAATTTGTGGTTAGAGTATTTTGTAAGACTAAACTAAAATCGAGACTCCAACAAATGTTGGATCAATAGCTCACAAAAAATTCTTAATATCCTTACTAATGAAACGATACGAAAACATTTTTACTCCAAGTTTAAATACAATCTGATCAAATGTTGTATAATAGAACAAAGCTATGAAAATGATTGAAAATGTTTCAGAATATTTTGGGGAGTCTACTTTATTACGAACAGTTAAGGTCGTGAAGTCATCGAGAACTTGCCTCATGCGAGTAGTCACCCACATCTGTTATTGACGATTACATCGAAAAAAAAGTAAAAAAAGAGTTGAAGAAAAATTGCTTGAAAAATATTTTGGCATTCAAGAGATAGCAGAAAATCTCAAAATCTCTTATAGATCGACTCAACATATATTGGTTAATGTTTTGGATATGAATCGTCTCAATTCTAGAGTCGTACCAAAAAATCTAAATCTTTTGCAAAAACGTCTAGAAGGGGTCACAAAAGATATCCTTGATGACTTAGCTGAGGACCCTACATTCAACAAACGCATCACTTCTGATGATCAGACATGAGTTTATGAATATGTCGTCGGAAATGTCCAACAATCTCGCGAATGGTGCTCTATAAACAAGCCGAAATTAAAAATTCGCCGAAGGCCATCCTATTCGATGCTTATAGCAACTCTATGCAAAATTGGATTAAGCTTCGACATGCTTGTTTGACTCAAAAGGAGCCTATTTTGAAGGCAATAATAAAGATTCTGGTAAAATTTAATCAGATGGACATATGCGTTAAGTGGATCACAATTGGAAGGATAGTATTTCTCGCGTGAAAATGCTAGGATAGATCAATATATCTACTTAACATTTAAACGATCAAATGTGCAAATCGAACAAAAAGATATTTCAAAAATATGCCGTTGATAAAATTGGATTAAAAGTGAGTGGGCACTAAATTATATACACGGCTTGACTCCTGTTACTTCGTAATGAGGTTTGTGTGATCTTCGCATTTCGAATATTTCAATTTATTTCATGACTTACATATTTAAATTCAATAGTTGTAAATTTTTTACTGTGCATTTTTTCGAAACCGATAAGTGGTCGAAGAGCGAATGTGCCTCTATATGTATGTATGTATGATATCATATATGGTTGAAACCAGGTTTAACTAACTCACAACTTAGCGGGCGGCTCAAAAGCCGTGCTCTGCAATACAAATTGAGCACACAACTACAGTATAACGTAACGGTTCGAACTGCTCGAATATGCACAGGTGTGAGTATTAGCAAATACTAAAAAATGGGGAGAGGAAACGGTTAAAGCTCTCATGTTGGGGCCCAAACGAATCAGTTGTCTGCTAAACGGTGAGGAAAACGGTTGTGCGAACAAAGCAAGAAACGCAACAACGCAATCGTGCAATCAAATCGTGTGAATTTAACTTTACTTTTTTTTTGCTTTTCAAGAAGCAAAATGTTTAGCATCAAATTTTATTACTTAATATAGAATTATTTGTTGAAAATTTTTTGTATAAGAAAAATATTTCCAATTAAATTGTGCACAACAACAACACAAAGAGTAAACGTGGTTAGTAGTGAAAGAAAATATTTAAAAAAAATGTTAAAGCGATCAAAACCGATCACTGAACATATTAATTTTGCAGCGAGTGATCGTTTTCCGAACGCAAATTGAAAATTTACAAAAACAAAACAAATATTGGAGTGCACAAAAAATAACAACAATTACCACTAACTTCTGTTCGCTTGTTAGTGCGTTTGGCCAGCGAGCGGAAATGTGCAGCAGTACAACAGTATTTCACCTGATCGTTTCTATTTCTTGTACTCGCTTGGCTGTTGACCATTTCCGTTTTAACGCGCTGCTTCTATGTTTGTGTGTGTGTGTTTGTATAAATTTTGTATGTGCTGTCTTTGCGCGCTGCCGAGTTGTATGTTAAAAAAGCTGCATAAAAAAATAAAAATAAAATATATAATTAAAATAAAAAATTAACTGATTATCACCAATACCACTGTACTCTATGTGCTTGCTATGGTTGGTTGAAGTTGTTGCTGATTAGCTGTGTTTTATGCCCACGTTAACTACTGGGCTGCATTACAGCTGTTTAGGTCAACGTTTTGGCGTGTTCGGACTGTAGTGATTTTGTATTTATTTTATTCCTTTTAATTATTATTATTATTTTATAGTTTACTATTGCATTATTTTTTGTTTCTGTTTTATTTTTTTTTTTTTTTTAATATTTTTATTTTTTTTGAATTTTTTATTTATTTTTAGTTTTTAAATAGATTTAAATGAGATAAAATTTAAAATAAAAATTAATACTAAAAATAATAATAAAACAAAATGAATACAAAATTTAGAAAATATATGTAATTAAATAAAATTAAAATACAAAAGTTATTTTTTTTTAAATTTTGTTTTAAAGTTGTATTAATTTTTTTGTCTGTTTTTTGCGAAATTTTTTGTCCGTCCCTTAATGTGAAAGCTATGTAGAAAATCATTCCATCTCGAAAAAATTTATATTTATTGCTTTTGACTTTGTTCTTAATTCAATGCAATTTTACTTTTTGTTTTCATGCTCTAGAACAAAAATATGTCTCTAAATCAACATTAATGTTTGTTCACGTTTTACTTAGTCACCACAAAAGTTTTGAAGCAAATCCAATACTATATTTAGAAAAACATTTAATTTAACTGAAATTAGGCAGTTTTTATTGCCATTAATGATATTTTTCTGGTTCTAGAAATGTTGAAATCTGCATTTTTGCGTAAGTAATGTTTGATTTATCTTTTTTTTTTTTAATTTTTTAACTTGTTTGTATTGAGTGTTTCTGCTTAATTTTTTTTATTTTGTTATATTATTATTATTTTTTTGTTTTGGTTTTGGTTATTTATTTTTTTGATTTTATTTTTTCTTAGGTCACCTTCATTTTTGTTTTGGTTTATTGATTTATATTTTCTATAATTATCTCCACTTTTTCTATTCATAATTATTTTAAATTTAATATTTTACATAATGCATACCGTGCCGCCATTTTCGTATTGTCATAAACATAACTGGCTCTTAAACTTTATATTTTATATATATGCACACATGAATATAGTACACGAGTGAATTTTGTTTGGCTTTTGTATTTACTGCATTTCGGGAAGCAACCAGTTTTGTGGTCGTCAAAATAACGAAACGGCAGAGGTAAAGAAATTTCTTTTGTGCAATATTTGTTTTTAAATTGAATATTAAAATTGTTTTTGGACATTTTTGTTGCATTTGCAATAAATAAATAATGATTTTTAGTGCAGTTTAATATAATTTCCGCTTACTTCTCATATTATTGCTCATAACTGCCTTAATAACATTTAATTTGCAATACAAATAACGAACGCTTGATCTTTGCTCCCACCAAAGTTGTCTGCATGCTCCTTTTTTGCACAGCCTTAAACAAACTTGTTTAAAAAAGCACAAAAAAATAACTACAAATATTTTTCGCCTGTTGCACGCTGTTACTAAGGGCCACCGTGGCAGTCAGGCGCATTTGTTTTAACATTTTTCGCTTGCCTTATTTGCTTTACGTTCGCAGCATGCAAAGCTGGCTTCCTCACGCAAAGCTCGCAAATCAGCGTTTACCCACTGCCAGTGTGTCGCTGAGCCAGCGTTCCAGCAGCGTGGTTGTTGTTGTTCTATCATGCTGTGCAGAATTCATTTCACCGCCCAACACTGCGCACCTCTTGCTCGTTCGTTGCATTCGTGCTGTCAGATCAGCCCTCACACCAGCAAACAGCCAAACATTTGCTTGTTTCGTGTTAGCTAACAATTGAACTCGGGCTCAGCAAGAATTGCAGAATTGGAGAATTGTTGCCAAAGTACACGCGAGATATATACCATATACATATATACACTGTATATACATACATTTAAGTTATCGGTTTGTATGTAAATATCCATTCACAAACTTGCGCATTGAATTGTTGCGGTGCTGGTATGCAACCATGCTGCCATTGATTGTTCCCTGTAGGAATTGTTTGAGAGAAGAAGAAATATTTGTTATAAAATTTCTGGGTAATTTCTAGGAAAAGATAATATCTATGATGGGTCTCTTTCATGTATTTGAGGTGTCCAATAAATCCATGTACCTACATAAGTAAGGTAGTTTATATTAAATATGGCGATTTGAAGTTGAATGATGAGAACCTGTTTAAGTTCGAATAATATTTGTACGAGTTAAGACATTTCGGCTAATAACAACGAACTTTAACCCAGTATCTTACGAATAGAAAGCTTAATCCTTAGATTTAACCGATCTAGGCTACCCATTTCTATGATATTATAAAATTAATATTTTTTATTCATTGGCAATTTTAAATTATATACGTTTATGACTTAATAATGATAAAAAATTATCTTCCGCTCTACGAATAAAAATAAAAATTTGGATTACTTTATTACAATAACTGAAATTTCTTTTACACTATTTCGCTATATTCATGTAAAAATTGTTCTTGATAAAGAAATATGTTATATCTCCTTTTTTAATTTTCGAATTTTTATTTAAATTTCAATAAGCAAATGAATACGAGATTTTCAAAAAAAATTAAAAAATTGCATAAAAAATTATATTAATATTTAGTAATAATTTTTGTTAAATTAAGTATGGGATAAACAGTTAGAATTGTGTGGAAAAAAAAATAAACTTTCAAAAATAATCAAAATATAATAAATACTTGTATAGTGCGTTATCATGCGGGAAAAGCAAGTAAAAATTGCCAACCATATAAAACTCTAGCTCCTTCATTTCCTACAGGGCTGCTACCATAGTTCAACTATCAAACCCACCACTAAGTCACCCATTTCGACAGCCAGTCAGTCACTCAGTCAACATTTTATTATAACAGATAGTGCGCTTTGTTCAAAAATATTATATATGTATGTGAGTACCATGTTCACAAATATGTTTTCAGCTCGCACACACACGTAACAAACAACCCAACAACTGCATTTGCTGCACACCACATATTTGTCAGCTGTGTAATTCGCTGCACACAACATTCATTCCATTGCATTGCCTTAAGAATGTGTTAAATTGTGAGGCAGTGACGACAAGCAAGCCAAGAAAATAATAGAAAACGAAACTTAAAAGAATAATAATAAATTACACAAACAATAAATAAACGAGTAAATGAACGTACAAAGCAGTGCAGCAAAGCAAGTCAGCAAAATAATTGCAAAACTGGCACGAAATAAAAGAGATATACCTATGTATTGCTGTAAATGTATATATATATTGCCAGCAGTACATACATATATACTTTACATATAGTATATATAGTAAATACATGCAAATAAAAAGTAAAATTTTCGCAATTTTTCCTTTCGCAAGCAGAAAAACCCACAAAACACAAGTAATTTGTGCCATTTCATGCAGTGCAACAAATTGCCGCAACATATTCGCTACATGTTTATAAACAAATGTTGCAAAAGCGAAAAACAAACAGTGAAATAGTGAAAATACACCGAACTCATACGCAAACGAAAATGAAAATAAATGTATTAAAACACATACTCATCAAATACTGAGCAGAAAAAGTAACAACAACAATAACAAATACAAAAGCGCTTAATAAAACATTGCAAATTTTGTAAGTGAAAATTATTTTAAAATTCTACGACTGCAACAGCATTAATCGTTTGTGGAACTATACTTCAATGTCACCGCAGCAGCCTGCAAGCCAGCAGCAATAACAAGAAAAAGCAGCACAACAACAATAAAAACAACGCAGTAGGTAATTATTATGCATTCATTGTAGCCAGAGAAGTGTCTTGAGTAATGTCTCAAATGTTGTTTGCTTCTTGAAGCTGAAAAGCCGAAAGAAGAAACAAGCGAAATGAAAAACAAAAAGAAAATAATAAATAAAGAAAAAGAAACTAAGAAATAGTCTGTTGAATTTTTTATGCAGCCACCGCATTTGCAGAAATAATTTGCGAAAAAAACTTAAAAAGAAAGAATAATAAATAAAAGAGTAGAGAAATTCCAGTAAAAAAAAATATTGTATAAAATATAATAAAAATAAATAATTAAAATCCGCCGAAAAAAGATTAAATATTAAAAATGCTTACTCGTATATGTCCAGCTATGCATGTTCTTTTTTGATTACTATTAAATTTTATTGCTTAACTTTTGTTTTTGTGCAACTTTGTTTGCTCCACACCTCAGTAACTAACTGCGTGAGCGCTGCTGCTGACATAAAAAGTGTCAACAGAACTTTCTATTTTCTTTGCTGTTTCGTGTCGTTCGCCGTTTGTTGTTTGCAAATTTTATACATATTTTTTTTATTCTTATATTTTATGCACACAATTATAAATTGTATACATTGCACAAACACAGACGTACTCATATGTCATACAAATGCATACAGCACATACACACCATTCACGTTGTTGTTAGAAGGCCGGTTACTGGCAGCCAGTTTGGTGGGGTAGCCACTGCCTCATTCTAGAAGAAAAAACTGCTGTTTCTTGTCGAAAAATAAAAATAAATGCGGTGTGACTAGTTATATGGCTGCGACTTCTGCTGCCTGCCAGCTGTTTTACGATGCCAAAGACATGCTGTTACCGTTAGAATTTCAATCATTCAAAATGCGGTTTAATGTTTGTACTCATGCGCACACAAGTGCACATATGTACATACTATATAAATTTGTATATAATCTCTTTTGTAAATATGTTTTCTTACCTTCATTTATTTTCTCCACTTGCTCATTTGAATACTAACTGTATTTCTTTCAAAAGCAAAAAGTCAAGTTTATTATATCTTTTGTCCCTTTGTTATTGTTTTTTATATCTAATATATTTTTCTTTATTTCTTACTTAACGCGTTTCTTTGACAATTTCTTCTTATTATTCTTGACATGCAACAATCTATATATGTATGTATATACTTGTATGTGTGTTCACTTGTCACCGAACGCGACTTAGACTTTGTTGCTAGAAACGCTCAATGGCTATGTTCGGTCTGCATATGCTAGTATGTGTGTATGCATATGTTCTTGGAGCCCCTCCGTTCGATTGAATTCCAATACTTAACCATTTCTACTGTTCGCTTACTGCTTTCAGTTGTGGATAATGGGCAAATTATTATAATTTCGTGACTAAACGCATTTTTAGAATTGCCATTCGAGCCAATAATGCAATATATTACCTCTTCATATGCTAATACGAGTATATACATATACATTTTTTTCCTGCTATTCTGAATTATGCAATTCGCGTGAATTTTGTAACTATGAGCAAGTGGATGAGCAAAAAATGCAAAATAATATAATCAAGAATGCGGTTACATATGTACGGTATGTCTTATTTGGAACAACTAATCGAGTGCTCTTTAACTTTCCAGTAATGCATTTGACTTAAAGGAACAATTTTATGGAAATAACACGACCATGTTTTGTGAAATTCATATTCGAAGGCTGAGAGTGAAGCTCTATTACATAATCATCGAGTATTCCCAAAGTACTTTCCGAAAGGTTCATTACATATCTGAGCTCATATGTTATGTCACTTGTCACTGCCGCCCATAGGCTAGCTTTTCAATGTTATGACATTTTTTCTTTAATTGAAAATGAAAGCAACTAAACTTTCATTAAATTTCCCCGTTTGCATATGACTTACTTAATAGGCTTGGTGTAACACTTGTAACACTATCTTGCTAATTTGATAAGACTGACAATATATCACCAAGATTTTTCTATTCTGTGTCATAAGTGTCAAAATATTTTCTTGATAAATTGTCAATATTGACAAATTTAACATCCTGCTTAACAAGATTTATATATTCCTATTCTGTGTAATAACTAAAAACAATCTTTTTTTTATAAATTATCAAGATGTTAAACAAAAAAAACCGCACTAGCTTTAAGTATAAAAGTTCTTTCAGCTATAAATTTGTTTGTGCACGGCTTATATCAACAACAAAAAACAGAAATCAGCTGTTTCTGTTTACATTATTTTGTTCAATACACGTGTACCTTTTGAAGATTTTATAACAAAAGAAATTTTACTTGATAAAAATCTTAACAAATTATTAATATTTTGTTTGTCAAGTACGCAGAATCGAGGTGTTAGAGTGCTTTTTAGTTTAGTCAATTAGAACACTGGAAGCTTCGCTAAGATAATCACACATATATAATATTTATTTGTATGTGAGAATCAGTTAATTGACTCAATTAAGGTTCGGTTCCGTTTAAAATCTCTCATAATTTTAGTACTACACCATAATAAGATTTGAAGCACAATTAAGAGCATTAAATGAAATATATGATCATGGACAGAGCTAAACTGAACAGATGATTGAATGTTGAAGAAAAAAAATATACATAAAATAGGCGTAAACTTGTTTGCAAACTGACCGAGTTAATTTTTGCTCATTAATAAAAAATTAAATAAAATATTTTGCTTATTCTATAAAAAAAAGTTCAACCTTTTTAGCTGTTGTTTTTTAATTAATCGATTTAAATAAATCGAGTTTTTTGTATGTGAAAGCAACGGGATCAGTAGTTGTAACTTATTATTTTATAAAGCTGAAGTATTTGAACTGCCGTCCCTTAATAATATTTCCAATCAGACAAGTATTTCAGCTTTTTTTTTGTTAGTATTGAAACATCAGTACACGTGAATCTATCCCATGACTTATTTATAAAGAAAATTTAAATAAATAAATTAATTAGCATTAAAAATATTTACTAGGAAACAAAAAAGTAATAGAAAACAGTCGTGGTTGAATTAAAAACGCAAGCCCATTAATCCCACTATTTACTCCCTAGTATACCTTCATTAGAAGTACTAAGTACATATATGGCACTATCAACGCTATTTCCGTTAATTCTAATAATTTCAAAGTATTAAAAGCCATATGTACTTGTTATCACAAATGTAATAAAGCACCGCAAAGCAAATTAAGTATTAATTTTTTTATTATTAATTACTAAAGTGCGGTTCAACAGCCTCATATGGTATGCTGCTACCTGTTGGTATTCAGTGTTTTTCTTTGTATCGCCGAAGGTTTGTTTGGTTAACGCGGGTGTTTGGCCTTTAATTACAAGTCCATTCACAGAAGCGCCTTAGACAAACTTACATAAACACGTAATGTATGTGCTTTATTTGTATTTATCTAGCCCTACAAGTTCCTAATACCGTTTCAATGCTACCCAGCTGCTGTTTTGCTTCATTTTTCCCTTTTTTTCTTCGTTGTCTACGCATTCTAATTCTGCTAATTCACTTAAGCGAAATGCGCCTGCACTCACATGTTGACACACGAGTACCTTTACGTTTTAGCGGTTTTGTTTTTTGCATTATCGAGTAATTATGTGCTTATATGTGCATTAATGCAATTTGTTGAAAACAAAAGTTTTCATTTTCGCATTATAGCCCTTATCTATATTTACGTGACTTGCCCTAAATATTTGTTCCTTGAATTTTTTAGAACATTTTTGCACTCTTCGCACCTGAAAAAACAATGTATATTACATTTGTTGTGCTGCCCACTGCCTACTCTCGAAATAGACCTAACTGACAAATTTTCCTGCGTTTGTGTGTTTTCGATTTTTATTTTTTATGTAATTCATTCTATTATTCATTCGATACGCTTTTGTTTCGGGTCATAATTACAATTTTTAACTACTTTTATGCACACTTGAAATACCGCTACACACTTAAAAGCGTATAAATTGCATTGTTTTGCTCGGCGCATGTATGTAGATACATTTACATACACTACTTCGTTTAATTTTTTAGTTTTTCTATTTATTATTATTTTTTATATTTTTTACAATTCAGTCTATTGACGTGGTAATGAGTGTGAGTCAGCGCGCGAAAGAGTGAGCGTTGTTGCCATCATAAATTGGCAAAACAATTAAATTGTATAATACATATGAGTCTGTGTATGTATGGGTGTTTGTATGTACTATGTATTCAGCTGTACTCAAAAAGTATACGCAAACAATTTCCATATTTGTTGATGAAAAGTTTTAAGGTGAGCTTTAAAAAGTGGCGTTTCTAAAGAAATATAAACACCTGAAGAGTTGAGTCTGTGCTTTCTGGGTAGTTCACGTTATTTCGAATCCGCTTATAGTTTATAATACTGTTCTTTGTGGCTTAGTGAGAAATTATAGCTGAAGAATTAGTTTAGAATTTGCGAAATTCTTCAAATTTATCGTATAATCATAAAAAATCTACAAGTTTAGTTTTTTTGATCAAATTGATAAGGTACTCTATCTAAATTGATCATTACTTTAAATCTAATCCATATTTAATTACATCTACGTATTTCTTGTTCGAAGACAATTATTAAGCTCATTTTTTGTAATCCTGAAATCTGCCTCTTAATAAACTTTAATAATTACAATTACTTTCAACTGTCAAACGCTCATAATAATATAAATATGTACATATATTTTCAAAATAAGTTCACAAAGTCATGTATTTGTCAACACATTAATGTAATTAGCTGATGAAAAAAATAATCACAATTACTTTGTCGGCCTAAAAGTACTAACTATATTTGATTCCTTATATGTTAATAAAAATTAATGATTACATTACATGAGTGGGCTCCCGAATCCGCAAACATATTCCTCATTTTTTAATGTCTTGAATTTATAAATACTAAATAGATTCTATTAATTATAATTTTACTTCTTGCCATTAATTAGTTAACATGAAGGATGAACATACATAATAATATTCGTAACCTAAAATTACAGGACTGTAGTTAGTAATCGAAAGTTAA